TTATACACATTGTAGGTAGAACACACCTTCTTTTCAAGTGTATTCACCCCCCCCCAAAAGGCCATATATTGAGCCATAAATAAGTTGCAAAAAATGTTCAAGGTTCAAATTCGAGAGTTCTATGTGAGCACAATGAAACTGAATTAAAAACTAAATAAGATCTCTATAAAAAAACAAAAGCAGGGCAATTAAACAATACAATTATAAACTACTGATTCATCAAGGAAAAACTCACCGAGAAATTTTAAAATATTTTAAACTGAATGATAATGAAAAGTGATACATTAAAATTCTTTCCTTAGAGGAAAATGTATAGCTTTATAGGAAAATAATAGCTTATAAGGAAGAAAACGTCTAAAGTTAATTACCTGTTTCCAATGTAAAAAGCTAAAAAGAATAAAGTAACTCCAAGTAAGGAAAGGGAAGGGAATAAGAGAAATAAAGCAGAAATCAATGAAACAGAAAAGACAATCAAGTGAAAATCAGTGAAGACAAAAAGTACCCCTTTAAAAATAATAATAAAATGGATAAATGCCTAGTTAGATTGATCAAAATAAAAAGAGAATACCAATTAAGAGCATTGTATCAGTAATAAATGAAGGGATTATTTACTACAGAACCTACAAACACATCAGGCATAATAAAGTAACAGGAACTAAATAATTTAGATGAAATGGAGAAATTTCTTAAAAATATAATTAAGTAAAAGTGACAGAAAATGAAAATAAAATCTGAATTGTCACATATATATAAATACATTTATTTTTTAAGTGAATTATTAAAAATCTTCTCACATAATGCTAAGTCAAGTTAGCCAATCCCCAAAAAAAATGCCGATTTTTTTTTTTTTTTTTTTTTTTTTTGATATAAGGAGGCTGATTCATAGTGGGATAGAGGCAGGAGCATGGGAGAAATAGATGATCTCTAGATAGGGCAGAGAAGTTGGAGGGGAAAGGGGTGGGGCATGGGGTAACTAATGATGGTGGAATGTGATGATCATTACTATCTAAAGTACATGTATGAAGACACAAATTGGTGTGAATATACTATGTATACAACCAGAGATATGAAAAATTGTGCTCTATATATGTAATAAGATTTGTAATGCATCCTACTGCCATATATAAATTAAAAAATTACATTAAAAAAAGAATATTCATGGGGAAAAAAATCTCACAAAGGAAATTTCTGACCCAGACAGTTACATAAGTGAATCCATCAACTATTTAGGGAAGAGGCCAGGCATGGGGATGCACACCTGTAATCCCACCAGCTCAGGAGGTTGAGGCAGGAGGATCCTGAGTTCAATGCCAGTCTCAGCAACTTAAGAGAGGCTTTAAGCAACTGAGCAAGACCCTGTCTCTAAATATGAATAGTTTAAAAAAAAAAAAAAAAAAAAAAACAACCAGGAGGGCTGGGTATGTGGCTCAGTGGTTAAGTGCCCTTAGGTTTAATCCCTGGTACCAAAAAAAGATAAAAGAAAAGAAACTTTAGGGAAGAAGTAACACCAGTATAACATAAATATTTCAGAAGAAGGTGAGACTAATTCCATTTTATTTTATAAGGCCAAATAACATAAAAACCTATCAAAAGTAGCACTAAAAAGTAAATTTCTTACCAAAATTCATCATAAACATAGTTTCATAAAGTAATAAATGAAGGGGTTATCACTACAGAAACAGATAGTTTCAAAAAGTGCTAGAAAATCAAATATTGCAAAATATAAAGACAATAATATATTATGGCCAAGAAATACCCAAGGAATTCAAGATTGACTTACCATATGAAAATTTTACAAGTAATTTACCATACTAATAAAGGCAAAAAAAACTTATGGTTATTTCTCTAGATAAAGAAAATGTATCTGGCCACATTCAACACTCTTTCATGATTTACAAAGCAAATTAGCAAACTCTCAGTGAAATAGGAAGAGACAAGTTCCTCAATCTGATAAAGGCACTGATAAAGACTGTACAACTAACATCATACTTGAAAAAAAACAATTAAAGCCATATGTCAAAAGCTTTTATGGGAATTCAAAAGAATACAAAAAATAAAGAAAATCTCTTCAGATAAGATCAAAAACCCAAAAAGTTATAGAAAGTATATCTGAATGTGGGAAAATTTTAAATATATAAATGAAAAAATATTATACCGATAACAGTAAGGCAGAGAGACAGAAATTTTACAATCTACAAATAACTTTACAAATTAATTAGAAAAAGACAACTCAAAAAAGTAAATTTAAATGTCCAATAAATTTATAAGGATGATCAAATTCACTAGTCAGAAAATACAAATTAAAATAACAATGAGTAATATTTTTCAACCACTAGTTCATCAAATTTACTAAAATACTGATATCTGCAGACATTTGGATGCTCCCACACACTGGTGGTAGAAAAATGATGTACTACAGCCTATTTGGAAAATATTTCGGCAGTATTCATTAAATTTAAACATATGTATACCTTTGATCTGATAAACCCAAACCTGGGAATCTGTACCAAAAAAATCAAAAAAGACATCTGACCCAGCAATCATATTCTTGAGAATCATTTCTAGAGAAATAAAATGCCCACTAACACAAGGATCGTAACAGCATGCTATCCAAGCAGTATTTATGATAGAACGAAAATAATGGAAACAAATGCCACTGATATATAAATGAATGAAACTATTCCAGGTCTCACTATGTATTATTCAACAGAAAGGTTTAGATGACCTGGAAGAGTATTTTGAAAAGAGTATCACTGAATAAGAAAATAAGAAGTGGGAAATCAAGCATTCAAATAAGCCCTTGAAAAAAAAAAAAAAAAAAGCCCTGCCAGGTATATATGTTTGAGTTTCTGTATGCTATATCATATTGTTACCATGGGTTGGGTTTTGAGCAGCAAGAATGTGGGAAGGCCATGTTGGAAATGATCAGATCCCATCCAAAAGGGGGGAAAATAACTTAAAAGTAGGGAAATAACAAATTTTATGAAACATAAACTTAAGTAAATCATTTATATAAATATATACAAAGAAACTAAATGAAAATTAAACTTATAAAATGCTCATGACAGGGTCCTTTGTAGGGCATGATGTAACGTGGGACATGTTGCATCAGAAAAGAGGAAACCTAACTTGCTGGCTGCTATCCGCTTCCCAGTCCTGGGGCCACATGTGGCTAAGAGAGCACCTAGCGATTAGCCAGAAGGCATCGGATCACCTTTAGGATAGGCTCAGAACCCTTCTGCCCTCATGGACAGCTCGTGTCTCCCATTACTGCCTGTAGGATAGGTGTAGATATAAATTCTCCCCCCCTGCTGACCTTTACCCTGATTGGTTCCTGTACATTATATTAGCTGTGTGTGTTTTCTCAATAAACGAGATCCCGCTTTGACTGTTCTCCCTGGCGCTTCTGATTGTTCTCCTGCAAGGGAGGGCTGGGTGCGGGAGGCCAGTGGACCTTTCTTGGTTCATCCTGGTCAGGGCATGCTCCCCCAATCTCTCCCGCAGGTCAGGAGGGAAAGGGTGGGGGGCATGCTAAAAACCCCGACAGTCCTTGAAAACTTTTCTACTTTATTCTCAATCTTAAATTTGAAGTTTTACAATTTCATCTTTATTTTTCAGTTCTTTTTTTCTATGTAGCAAAAAAAAGTCTTTCTTCTTTCAGAATTAAGTTTTAATTATTATCTAAGAAGTCTGCATGATTCTGTAAAGTTACTGAAGGAAATATCAGAAAATCTATGATGAAGCTAAGGAAAAGAGAAGTGTGTGTACATCATTTGGCTACGTTCTTTCAAGAGAGATTGCTCTGGAACTCTAGTCAGCACTTCTCTCACAAAGGAAGTAATCTGCATTATGTATAGTACATAAAATTAAATAATAGTAAATTTAGATATAAAGTTCATTATTTAAATGCTGATTCTTAATGTAAATTTAAACTCTATCATCAGTTCTTCATTAAAAAGAAATGACTAAAATAGATTATTTTTTCAAATAAATTCACAGATTCACACCTGGAGAAAAATAAATGTTCCTAACATTTATTCTAAAGAGCTTGGATAAAAGGGGATCAACTGTCAAATTTTCACATAATTTATAAACTTCAACATTAAAATAAATATTACTTGGAAATGAGCAGCAAAAATTTCAGTCGGCATGAATAATTTAAACACCAGTTAAAATGTTAACATCATTCAAATTTTAATTTTGTACCTTTGTTTGAAAGTTATATGAAGAAGACATTTTGTCTATTTCTAAGGAAAAGGTAGTGTTTTAGAATGAAATAGATTGCAAAGAATAATCCTTTAGAGTTCACTTTGATTTTCAAGAGTGTAGATATTATTGCCAGGTGTGGTGGCACAAGCCTGTAATCCCAGTGACTCAGGACACTGAGGCAGGAGGATTTCAAGTCCAAGACCAGCCTCAGTAACTTAGATCCTCAGCAACTTAGCAAGACTCTGCTCAAAATAAAAAATGAAAAGGACTAGGGACATAGCTCAATTGTAAAGCACCTCTGGGTTATATCCCCAGTACCCACCCCCAAAAGAAGAACATAAATAATAAAGACCCTTCAGCCAACATCATGAATTAGGTGTAGTTTTACTATTAATATGAGTCAACAATAGAAAAACCAATTTCTAGGCACACTGTTTTCCATTTTGACTCAGAAAAAAGCATGTGATATGTAAAAAGAAAAAGAGAAAATGTTTTGAATCTATTACAGCACTAAATGGAAATGAACAATAAATATTATGTAACCATATACATAAGGAAAAAAAATCTGAGAGAAACAAGTAGTAGAAAGTGGAATGAAGTTAGAGCAGGTGACCTGTTTTAAAGTGAAGGACATATATTTAAAAAGCAAAGAAAAACAATTTATGTCTTGAAAAGCATGGTGGGAGAAGATCATAAGAAATTTCTAAGACTAATCAGGTAAAAACAAATAAACAAAAAAATCTGTTAATTTAATCTTCCAGAATAGAAATAACCAATAAAATAGAATTTACCTTTTCAGATTCACCATGGCCCAGGGAATCCCAGTAGGTGTGTTAAAAGCAGGTAGGAGTTTCTCAGCCAACTGTACTGCTTTAATCTTGAATATCTAAGACAAAAATATGAATGATCACAAGTTACAGACACCAATAAGTATTTGCAAATTGTTATTTCTCACAGTATGCATTCCACAATGTATTAGGTCCATGGGGCGGAGGGCAACCTATTGTTATCATGGAGACTATTTTAATCAGAGAAAATGTTTGCAAACTGAGGAAAGGTACCCAGCATGGAAAACCCTAAAACTACAATTAATTGAAAAGAAAGATACAGGTCAGGTATCAATATTATCTCTATTTTTAGCTGGAAAAAAATCTAAAACATTAGGCTATGGCAGGGAATGGTAGCCCATGCCTATAATTCCAGCAACAAGGAAGGCTCTAAACCACTTAGTGAGACCCCGTCTCAACATAAAACCCAAAAGGACTGAGGTTGTAGCTTCAGTGGGAAAGTGCCCTGGGGTTTGAGCACCATTACCAAAAGAAAAAGAAAACAGAAAAAAAAATGAGGCTGTAAAATTTTCATTCAAGATATTCAAACTTAATTTCGATGATAAATTAAAACAGAAGTAAAAGAAAGATGTAATCCAATTTGGATAACTGGCCTTGGATTACTATAAACACGTTTCTATTTCAACATTTTCCATTAAGACCTAATCATGTTATAAAAGGAAAAAAAAAATTTGAGTTCACATTCCAATTTTCAACCTTCAGTCCCACTTGCTGCTTTTTTGGTTCCCAAAGTTAAAAAAAAAAAAAAAAAAACGTAATATCAGTGATTTCTGAACTTTTAAAAACATATACTATTATCAAGAAGTATAAGGTAAAATTTCTATTATTTGCTTAGCATATTCTAATAAATAGATTTGGGTACTCTATTCTGAACACTACTGACTCAGACACTCTAAACTAAGACTGTTTCAGAATGTTCTAGTAGGAAAAGTGGCGTGTTCTCCTATATTCCTTAAGCCTATCCTCTTTCAAAACAATTCCAAATTGATGAATTATTTAGGATACTACTTTCTCACTGATGCCAAATAATTTTGATCTCCAAATAACTAGTAGTTGACAGCCTGAAACAGATAAAAGTTTTGATTTGAGATTATATTAAACCAAGCATCCCAAAATTATTCAGGGTAGGAAACATTGTACAAGTGGACAAACATTAAGATGTTCTGCAAAATCATTAAGAATACAAAAAGTAATAAAGGCTAAGAAGGATTGGGGGGAACACTCCCCCCAAATTACATATTTTATATACAATTTTAAATATTTAAAATTACATGTTAATAATTCTATTAATTGGGCCCACCATGCTGACCCCACGTTTTCTTTTAAAAAGCAATTTATCTTCAGCCCCTCCTGGCTTAAACTGACATGTTACATACCTCAGGAAAACTACCTGTTATCTGCACAGGAAATGCAGGACTGAAATAATGCCAATAAGAGAAGCCCAGGAACTTTTGTGACTCCTAATACAGAGCAGATCCCACAACTCAAGGAAATAAGGATAATTTCTACTAACCATAAAATCTGTAAGAACAGGTTCCAATTAGAACTGGTTAGCATGGGCCAAAGTGACTGAGAGTTGTTATGGTAGTAGGAACTTAAAAGTCTGATATCATCCTGCTGTTGATCATAGGTCAAGAGGTAGATCTGGTTAGGACTCTCTGAAAACTTTCTTGGAACCCCCAATAAAACTGGAAGTCAGGAGAGGCACACTGTTCCTCCCCTCTCTGAGAGGATCTACTCTCTCCCTAGAGCAAGCATGTCCTCTTTTTCCCTATCCCTTCTAATAAACTCATGCCTGTTACTCTTAGCAATATGTCTGAAATCTTTCTGAACTGATCAAAAGAATTAGGGCTTGAAGGAGGCGAAGGTTGTCTGTGCACTGCCTCAGTTTCCTGACAGACCCCAGTCGTTTAACTGATTTGTACTTTCTATTTCAGAAAAATATTTTGATAAGATTAAGACAACAGAACAGCTAATTTAAAACATTATATTTTAACATGCAACACAGGCAAATAACATAAAATCTAGTAAATTTCAAAAGTAGAAATAATTATACAGTTCTGCCCCTCAACCACACAGTTCCTTCTATAATTCAACCAGTTACCAGCTTCTTAAATATCTAGTAAATATTTTGTATTTAACCAGTTCCATGGTATGCATGGTTCTTAACCATTACAAACATCAAATACTTTAAGTCTGAGCCCTCCTTGAAAAATAAATTCTGTTGCATTTTCATGCACAGAATCTCCACCACAGATTATCATATTGTGAACTTATTTCCTTCCCTCACTGTTGTACCTTGGAGATCTTTTTAAATCAGTCCACAAAAGACTACCACCTTGTTCTCTTTAGTGGCCGCAGAATTTCCTTTAGTATGTATATATTGCAATTTATTTCATCAGACTCCTACTGATGAACATTTAATTTGTTTCTACACTATGTAGCTATGTGATGTATCACTATGTGGCTATGGGCAATTTCAAAGTAGAAATATATAAACTAGCATGTGCATTGGCAATTGTGATAAGTTATTATCAATTTGTCCTCCATACATGTTTTACTAATTTATACTCCCATCAGCAATTTGTGAGTGGCTGTTTCCCACTCACAACACAAAGTTTTCTAATTTTCTATTCTACTAATCTGATGTTGAAAAAATATTCTATTGTTATTTTTATATCCATTTCTTTGCTTATGAATGTGGGAGATACTCCATATCCATTCAAAACCCTTTTCAAGCATAACTTTGTGTACTGCAGAGGACAGAAAACTATACAAAAAATTTCCCCAGACTCTCACATTTTACTGTCTTAGAAACTGAGGTATAAAGTGAAAATATAACATGTGTCCGAAAGTCATAAAGCTAGTAAATGGTTAGTCTGAATTTAAACCTAGGCAGTCCAACTTGAGAGTCCATGTTCTTGACCACATACACATGCTTTCAATTTGCATTACTTAACATTAATTTTTACAGTCACTAAATTTTTCCTCTATTTGGCCTCGAATGTTGTGCTTCTTAAGGCCTGATTCTATGTCCCCTTCTCTTCCTACCCTAAATTGTCTCCCCAGACAATTTCATATGTCTTTATTTTTATGTGTATACCTCTTTACTGTATCTTACATTCTCCCTCTTGAAAGATACTCTGGCTATTATAAAATTCTGGGTTGGCAGCCATTTTTACCTCAGTAGTTTAAAGATATCACTTTAAGGTCTTTGTTTTCAATTATCAGGTACACAGCACCTGGACTCCCAAATTTATATCTCTAGTCAATATTTACAATGGTTAACAACCACCACCACTACCACCTAGGAATAAATTTTACCAGATATTGATTAAAATAATTGAAGATATACATACATACACACACACACGCAAAAAAAAAAAAAGGGGGGGGAATGGGGTAGGGGGAGGACATCCTGTGTTCATGGATTAGAAAAATTAATATTGTTTACTATCTATACTGCCCACAGTGATCACAGGTTCGATGCAATTCCTTTCAAAATACCGGTGACATTCTTCACAGAACTACCAAAAAAAAAAAAAAATCAAAAGTTTGTAAAGAAGGAACAAAAAAAAAAAAAAAAACCATCTTGAGGGGGAAAAAAAAAGAGGCATTGTATTACCTGACTTCAAAAAAAAAAAAAAAAAAGCTATAGTAATCAAAGTAGCATACTATCACCAGAAAAACAGAAGCATATACCAACTAAAGAGAATAGAGAGCCCTGAAGCCCACAGATCTACAGTCAACTGATTTTCAAAAAAGGGGAGAAGAACATGCATTAGAGAAAAGACAGTCTTCAAAAATGCTGCTCAGGGGAAATAAAGTTTTAGAAAGTACTCCTCTACTTTTTATAGGAACTGTCATTCTACCTGCCTGATAAAAAAGAAACCCCATTCTATCTTGTGAACTTAAAGAAGCTGCAAATGCCATATAATCACTTTTCTAAGCCTCCTCTGCAGCTAAGGCAGTAAGTGAATATGACCTTAGTTTTGCAACTGAGAAGTATACAAATTAGGCGGAGAGAAGCAGCTAGGGACCACAGATGGTGGAGAATTCACTCAATACCTCATGTCAAGTGTCTAGAAACTGTGAAGAACAGTTTACAATATCAGTGGGACCATCAATCCAAACCACAATGTGTGTGCAGCAAAGTCTACAGTGAATCAGTACTGTGATGGTTTTTACCACTACATAGAGATTAGACAGGAAGGAGAGTAAGTAAAATTGTCTTTATTTGCAGATGACATAATTGTATATCTAGAAAATCTAAAGGAATCTACAAAAAAAAAATAACTAAACCACAGTCTCTTTCTTTTTTTATTGCAATGCTAGAGCCTCCAGTATAATGATAAATATAAGTAGTAAGAATGGACCTCTTTATTTTCAATCCTTGAATAAAAAAAAATTAATCAGGATATGATTTGCTGTAAAATTTTTGTAGGTGTCTCTTATCAGAATGGGGGGGGGGGGGGAAGAAACTCCTAGTACTAATTTACTCAGTTTTAAACACTAATGGGTTGATTTATCAAATGTTTTTAGTGAATTAACCACAAAAATTACATAATTTTTCTTTTGTCAATTAATATGGTAAATTACATTCACTGCTTTTTCAAATGTTAACCCAATATTGCTCTACTAGGATAAAATCAAATTGTAAGATTTATATATGGAGTAAATGTAGGTATATATACACATACATAAAATATATACATATGTATAAATATAACTATATATATATATATATATATATATATATAATCATATTCTTACTGGTTATGCTTTACTGATAGTTTGCTCAGAACTATGTGTTCACAAGGTATACTGGTCTGCAATTTTCTTTTTCTTGGCTGATATTTCATGTTATGGTATTAGTGTTACGCTGGCCTCAGAAGAACTGAGATATGCTCCCTGTTCCTCTGGTTACTTAAAGAATTTATGGAAGATTGATGGGGGTCTTTTACCTCTTATCTGACAGAACTAATCAATAAAATTATTTACCTTGGAATTAATTTTATAAGTTTTATTATGAATTCAA